TCATCATCTTCCAAGTCGGCCCTGGGTGCTTCGGAGAAGAGCTGTGGGGAGAGCTTGGGGCTTAAAGCGGCCTACTGTGATCAGGGTTTGGTTTTTTTCGGGCGAAGTATGTAGGGGAATATTTGATTGGGCACTGGCTGGTTCCGCGTGATGCAGCGCAGCTTGAATATGAAACTGCGCGGGAAGGAGCGGACCACGGTGCTGCAGAGTGAACAAATGCTGCACTGTGTGGCAAGCTGAGCTCGGATGGGCTCAAATACGGAGGCTTTCCTTCGAAACCCCACACCATCGAATCGAACCACAAACGTGGCCGACTCGTTCTGTTGATCAGGAGAATGATCAGTGACCAGCCACACCGTGATGGGCTCACCATTAACCTGCATTCCAGACCAAGGCTACCTCGCATATATGAGCTTGGTTCAGGCATACATGCACTTTGAGCAGTATGGAGATTAGAGTGTGTCATCACTACGACGATGATTGTTGACCTGCTCTTACAGTTACCATTGACCAGTTGACTGTACTGGTCATGGGCCATGGTAACAGTTTAGCAGTATGCCTGCGTACATGTATGTGTATGCTATACATCTATATAGGTTTATGTGCTTGTCAATTGTTGTTTGAGACAACTCCAAAACTATGTATGTATGTGTTTGCATGTACATTTAAACTTAATATACACGCACACACACAAATATGTATGTATGTATGTATGTATGTATGTATGTATGTGTATATATATACACATACATACATACATACATACATACATACATGCTTACATACATACCTGTATCCATACATACGTACGCACATACATACATTACATATGCTACGTACAAACACATACACATGTATATATATATATATGTGTGTGTGTATGTGCATAAACATATACATTTATGTATATCGTTGCGTCTGTGCCTGTACGTCTCTCTCCCTCTCTCCCTCCTGCTGTATGTGTGTACACATATATATACACAGCATACATGTATGCAGATGTATATGCATACTTCAAATGATTCTGCTAGGTAGAGTTATTGCATGTCAGCCATCTCAGCAGATACTCAGGTGGACACCATGGCTCCCCAGCCATGGCAGAAGTACCAGTATCCGAGTTTCAGATGGGATTCAGGGTTTAGGGCTTTGCAAGTTTAGGGTATTGGGTTCAGGGTCTGTAGGCCTGAGTAGGGTTTAGTTTCAGGGTTTTGGTATGTTTTAGGTTGCGGTTTTGGTCTTGTCGGGTTTAGAGTTTGGGAGTTAAAGTCTTGTCGGGTTTAGGGTTTGGGAGTTAAAGTCTTGTCGTTGCCAGTTCCTGGTTGTTCTTGTGAGGACATGACTGGCTAGCTGGGTGTGCTGCGATGCCTTACAAGACAAAACCGATGTGCTTGGCTTTTCAGAAATATCACTGTCGCGGCTCGACACACAATCTGCTTCTGCTTAGCCCCGAATTCTCTTGTGGAAATGCTAGTGGACTGATGACAATGATAACTTTCTATTTTCGGCTTCTTGAGAGCAAACGCTCCAGACACGGCGCTTGGATACCCCAAACCAAGATGGGCGTTCACCGAATCCGCGTCGACTGGCAAGTCATGTATAATTATGAAGTCTGCTGTGGCAAAAGACTTTCTTCAGCATGGGCTTGGATTGTGTGCCAGCGAACACTCCTCAACAGCAGGGGCTTCTCATGGCAAAAGACCGCTTTCGAAACAACTTTGGTATAGACGGCGCACCCAAAGCTAGTCAAGTTCCCGAGCTGATCTCCGGAACCAACTGCGGTGGAGCTCGTGCTAGATCTTTTCTCACTCTCGCTGCCCCAATGCTCTGCCAGCACGAGGTATGGGGAAACAGCCGTAGCTGTCGTCCTCGGAGTGCAAACAACCCTTTGCAGGGACGAATTAC